GTTCTCTCTCTCCTCCTCGTTAATTCTCTCTCTCTCTCTCTTCCTCTCTCTCTCTCTCTCTGATTGTCTCTCCTCTCTTTCGCTCTCACCATAATGAGCTATAAAATACATACTGTCAGTCGCATACTACACAACAGCCCTGCTGAGTTACGACACAAGGTGCGCGGCGTAGCGACGCGCTCATCTAAACCCGTCTACTGCGGTGACTCTGTGGTGGAGTGGCTGGCGATTCTAGTACCTGTTAGTCCCAAATGTGATTACATACACGGCCGAATACAGTGGAATGCACAGGAGATGCGTATCCAGGAAACTTCTCAAAGGAATGTTCGTTGGGTATCATTATGAAAGTTTGCCCCCCACTGGCGAGAGGGGGGGTTGGCGCGTATCGTTTTAAGTGCTCTTTAGATTAAAGATGGGCCAGCTCCATCGTACGTCGAGTAGCAACAACTATTTTGCAAGACAGAATACGGTTAAGCACTCATCCATATTCCTACGCAAGCCTACAGGCTACAATAGAGAGCTGCCACCTGTAACCATTAACGCAGCAAAAACTACACAGTGCCACAAACATGCACTGGTCAGTAGCCCACTGGCAGTGCATACGTTAATGTAATCATAGCTGACAGATACAGAATGCCATGTAGAAATTTATACGATTTAAGGGCATAACCTTCTTTAACCAAATTTAGCTTTTGAATTCACCTGTGACATTTGGTAGCCTCATACATCAGGCATGTATAGTATCTCTATTAGGCAAACCCGGCAGTTCAATTTCTTCTAACAGACCATGTCAACAAATCATGTTTAACCCTCTCTTCGAGGGTCAAATGGTTATTGTACACTTACTCTTCGCAATGTCAAAGAAAAAAACAGAAAGTAGATTTATGGTCTCTTTCAATATTATGCCATAAAAATGCCTAGGTCACCGCTGAACAAAAAAAGTTTTTCAATCGCTCCGTCAGGATCCATGATCCTCAGAAAATGTCTAAATCTGCCTGTGCCTATTGACTTCTTGACCTGTGACCTCAATTCGGCACAGGTGATGGGCTTTTCTACCATGATGCCTATACACAAACTATCACGAGCTTAGCGGGTCGAGCTGCTTTAGATTTTGTGCCGCAATTTCTGGTCATTTCCTCCCCTTACCTTTAAGTTAAGATTCGTGAATGTTCCCCTTCCTTCTTACACTGACCTTTGACCTTCTTTGACGCCCCAGCTTCGACATCCCAACTCGTTTGACGATCCCCCCAATGTGCGAATATCTGACCGTACGTCGAGCGCGGTTAAGATTGCGTGTGCCCAACTGTTGACAGACGAACGGGACGGAACAATTATGCGATTCTACAAGCTGCATCTGGCTATGTCAGATTAGCTAAAAATGGAACAATCCTTCGTTCCTTAAGTTTCGTTCGCGCAATCAATGTCTTCCGAATTGTGTGAATTAAATCCAAATTCAAGTTTGCTTTGCATAATATATATAAAAACGTTTACGTTTTTATTAAGACGCGATGGTAAACTTTGCTTTTATATAGTAGCTTCCATGAATTTTATATATATTTGCTAATAAGTATGCATATACACATCAAGAGTACATAATCGAGCATACTTAATTAGAGACCATAATAGAGTACACGAATAGTACAGTACAGAGACTAAGAGTACATGATGAGATGCATAGATCTCTATTATGTACTCTTGATACACATGCTTACTTCATCCCCATTTAACCGCTCGCTACCATGCATTACACACACAATCACCAAAGAAATTTTTGGAGTGGCAACACCATAAACAGACTAATAAAGTGTGCCACTGATTGTTGTATTTTAAATATCAGCAAGCAAATGCAAATAAACACGTTTACTAACACCTGTGAACTAGTACAGAACCCCTCTGCAAATACATTTCACTGGAACTGTAGTTGTGTTATTGTTGTCCAGCTTCAAGAAGAAGGATGCATGGCATTAATAAGCTGCTTTATGGTCTGGGCTGTTTTCTTGAACCAACTGCCACAATTAACATTTAACAAAAATGTTCCAAGTATTGCGTAGTTGCAAACAGCATTTTATACGTGTGATTCAATCCTGGCAATTGCTGCCCAACTGTGTGTGTCGTGTTGCGTAGTTCAAGTAATAGTTATAACACACTCAGCCAGCCAGGCCTAGAGTTGTCTTTAGAACTATCACGTACACAACATTCAACCAACCACCTATAGTTGAATTCGATAGGTATAACAGCATGCTGCAACAACAACCTTAGTTAACATTAACCTTAAAGGCCATAATTCGACCATCGATTATGCAAGTTGAGATAGAATACAGTTAACTGCGCACCTTGTGTAGTATAATAAGTACAATTACCTTATTAGCCACACGCGTATTAGTTTGTCCAATATCAACTGATAATTACTAAGAAATGATCTGAAATTGAAATCCGTAAATTTGGTAATCTGGCGACAACGCGAAATTTATCGCAATAAACATCGAGTTCGGTTCAGGTGACGTCACATGTTGCTACAGATGTTGAGCATCGAATTGTTTGTCCCGGGGCTAAATTGTTTTGCCCCTAGTGTTTTATTGCCTAGTGCCCCAGCATATTATATTGTTTGCTTTAATCTCAATGAACGTATATTCATTTCTTTCCGAATTCCCAAGAGTAACATTAACGTAACGGAATGCGCATCAGACTTACACAGGATCGAAATCACTGGACGGGCCGAGCATTTACGTTGCGAAAATTGTCGCGTGCACTATAATCTGTATGACACGCGCCTCGCCGGTTCGCGTTTGTAATGTCAACAACCGATTCTGGGATGCGGATTTCAATTAGACATTTCTTAGTAAACCAGGTAGTGATATTGGACAAACTAATATATACGCGTTTTGGCTATAAGGATGTACTATATTTAACTACACAATTGCAGTTACTGCTAGCATTCGTTAAGTTGCATAATCGGATGGGTCGTAATTATGCTTTAAGTAAGCACTAGTGCAAATCACATGTTGTTGTGTTTTGTGTGTTGTGTTGTTGTGATTTACATGAGAACGCGGATGGTGTCAATACAAGGTTCGTCAATGTATTCAGTGATGCTGTTGTGCGTTGCGTCAGTGGCGTGTGGTGGTGTGTGCTGTGTCGGGTGTGTGTACGTGACGCTACTGTGTTGATCTCCGCTGCTGTGTGCGCGCGAGTGCCCGCTCGTCGGCCTCGATGGCGTGTGTGTGTGCATGCGTGTGTGCTTGTGCTCTCGGCACCCGTGTGTGGTGTGCGTGTGTGCGTGCTCGGCGTGGCGTGTGTGTGTGTGTGTGTGTGTGTGTTGTGATGTGTGGTCGTGTGGTGGCGCTGCGGTTCCGTTGTTGTGTGCTGCGTGTGTACGTCGTGATGTGTATGGCTCGTTGTATGTGTGTGTGCAGCGCGCGCGTGTGTGTGCGTGCGTGCGTGTGTGGTGTGCGTGCGTTGTGCTGTGTATGTGCGCCGTGCATGTGTTAGTCGTGTGGCTGTGTGTGGTGCTGTGCGTGCATGCGCGTGTGTGTGTGTGCGCGCGGCGCGTGTGTTAGCATGTGTGGTGTGATGTTGTGTGTGTGTGTGTTGTGTGTGCTGTGCGTGATGTGTGTGTGCGTGCGTGCTTGTATGTATTGTTACGTGCTGTGTGTGTGTTGAACAACACACACGCCACAAACAGCCACGCACACACACACACACGCACGCCCGCCACACACCGCCGCGACACACCCCGACACCGCACACACACACACACCACACACACACACACACACACACACACACACCACAACACACCCACACCCACACACACAACACACTATACACCCACGCATGCACACACACCACACACACACTATGCACGCACAAACACACACACACCACCACACAACACACACACACACTGGGCGCGCCGCCCGCGCGCACCACACACACGCAACACACACGCGTGGCACGCACACCACACACGCGTGCAGCGCACACACACACGCCCCACCACACACACACACACAACACACACGCACACCACACATCCGCACACACACACATACACACAACACACATACACACACACACACAACACACACACACACACACAACACACACACACACACACACACAACATACCAACACAACACATCACACGACACAACACACACACACACACACACCACACACACACACACCACCACGCAGCCCACCCCCAACATATGCACATATAAGACAAATAATCAATATGTATAATTATGCCAACATGTGACGTTTGTATTTATGACAATAGCTGTACTGAAAGAAATGACAATTTCGAAAAAATTCCCCCAAAAACGTTACACAACCTATACATGCAACATTACGTAACAAAGTTGACGTATCACGCCCACAGGCACTCTTGTAATAATATCCGAATATCTACATACCACGTTACGACGCAGAAAACAATGTGTATCACATTGTTCACGCATATAACAATGGTAATCATGTATTTAATATGCCGTCATGTCTTCCACCGATCTCTATACACTAACTGGATATATCCAGTTAGTGTATAGAGATCGGATATAGTTGTTAGTCGCCTTTAGGTGTCACCACCGTACACCATGACAGCACTCATAGAAATACGTAGTATGCAGTAGTATCGTAGAATATAAGTATACTAGTTATTACGCGTCCTCCAGACGGGTTTGAGTGGGGTCTGATTTGAGGATGGCGGTTTAACCATTTATCTCTCACTTTTATTTGAGAATGTATTTACAGTAAACGAAAAATACTGATATTTAGACTCGAGTCGTATATTGTTGTACTGCGAAAGTGTGAAGACTTCGGGTTCTCGTAGCGTCGACAGCGTAGAAGGTGGCAGCGTTGTTTCGTCAGCAAATGGTAGAGAGGTTAGCAGCAGCAGCGTTGATAGCAGAGGTAGAGCCGTAGTCGCAGATTCTTGTTTCACGAGTACTTTATTAGTAACTACACATACAAAAAATATATATACATACTACAGCCTATAGGCAACCATGCCTAGGCTCTGGCGCCTCCCTCGAACTCTCTCTGACTGACTACATAGTCACAGTCTAAATCTTCTATCTTGTCGTATCTCCTCTGGGTAATAACTCTTGGATAATACTTCTTACTGCTTGTCCGCGCGTGTCTATTTATATATTTTCTAAAAACCACCGGCGACTTCTCAATCCAACTCCCGTCCAATCACGGTTGGGTCCGTGGGGTTAGGATGCACGCGGTGGGTTAAATTACAATAATAACAATAACTTGCTAGGGCCGTGCATCCCGCGTCATTACTCAAACAACAATAACCACCAGGCCAATTTGTCGCTCAGTTAATTACAATGTATAACATACAATAATCCTTCCTTCCCTCTCGAAAGAATTTATGTCCCAACAAACAAAATACAGTTATACATACAAACAAACAAACGACGAAACATAAAATACAGATAGGACCGGCTATAAGCTATATCGTAAACACATATCCATAGCCAACTCTTTGTTTAATAAAAATGTGAATTTGTGGTTTTGCTGTCGTGCTATCGACTTCTCTCCCGCTCGCATGCGCTCGCCTTCTCACACTTAGTGATAGGGTTAGAGTTAGTGATAGGGATGACAACTGTTTGTTATTCTATTATAAACACGTTAAAACTTCCAAATTCATTTTTCATAACCGATTTTTCATAAGCATTTCGTAAAAAACCTCAATTAAACGAGTGAATGACAAGAATGAATTATAAATCATAGCAACAACAAATGTTACGGCTGAGCAACAATTCCTGTAAATCATAAACGGAAGCTAGGAACTAACATCTAACGCACACACAATATTAACTTACGTTAGTTATAATAAATATGCGCATTCGAAGTTGTCACAGCTCGAATCTTTAACGACAAAAACACAGAGAGAACATGGCGGGAACGCTTCTGGCCACGTCTATACTGACCGTGATATATCTCGCGAGAGAGAAGCCCGTCACGGCGTGACGAAAGTCCAAGTGATTCATGTATATATGCGCACTGTATACTTATTTCTGACACTAGATGGTGGGTCATATTTGCTTACATATGCACTACGATGGCTATGTTGAACATACTGACAGGATAAAAAGATAATAAATGATCGTTTTGTGTAATACACAATAACATACAAAACAACAAAACTTGTTTGCGTACATGATGAGCATGCGCTTCCTTCTCTCTCTCTCTCTCTCTCTCTCTCTCTCTCTCTCTCTCTCTCTCTCTCTCTCTCTCTCTCTTTCCATCACTCTCTGTGCGTGTGTCGCCGGTTTCCTGTATCTTTGTCGCTCTGTTTTCCCATCTCTCCTCTTTTCTCGCTGGCTCTCTCTCCCCTGCCCCTCCCCTCGCAGTCTCTCTCACCCGCTCTAGCGTGCTCGCTCTCTCTCTCTCTGTCTGCCTCTCCCCCCATCTCTCTCTCTCTCTCTCTCTCTGTCTCTCTCTGATTATCTCTCCCTCTCTCTCGCTCTCACCATAATGAGCACCAAATACATACTGTCAGTCGACATACTACACAAAGCCCTGCTGAGTTACGAACAAAAATGGAAACAATCCTTCGTTCCTCAAGTTTCGTTCGCAAATCAATTCTTCGATTGTCTGAATAAATCTAAATTCAAGTTTGCTTTGATAATATATATAAAACGTTTACGTTTTTATTAAAGGAAGGATGGTAAACTTTGTTTTTATATAGTAGCCTCCATGAATTTTATATATATTTGCTAATTAAGTATCATATACACATCAAGAGTACATAATAGAGATACTTAATAGAGACCATAATAGAGTACACAATAGTACATAACAGAGACTAAGAGTACATGATAGAGATACATAAATCTCTATTATGTACTCTTGATACACATGTTACTTCATCCCATTTAAGTGTACATATTTACACAAATACCAACAAATTTTAGTGGCAACAGATAAACAGACTAATGAAAGTGTGCCATGATTTGTGTACTTTTAAATATTCAGCAACAAATGCAAATAAACACGTTACTAACACCGGTGAAACTAGTACAGAAACCCTCTGCAAATATCATTTCACTGGAACTGTAGTTGTGTTATTGTTTGCAGCTTCCAAGAAGAAGGATGCATGGCATAATAGCTGCTTTATGGTCGAGGCTGTTTCTTGAACAACTGCACAATTAACATTTAACAAAAATGTTCCAAGTATTGCGTAGTGCAACAGCATTTTATACGTGGTGATTCAATCCTGGCAATGCTGCCAACATGTGTGTGTGTGTGTGTGCGTAGTTCAAGTCAATAGTTATAACACACTCAGCCAGCCAGCTAGAGTTGTCTTTAGCCCAAGCTCACTCACGGTTAGCAACACATTCAACCAAACCAGCCCTACTAGGGTGAAGTCCGATAGGGATAACACCAACCATGCCTCGAACCAACAACCTATAGTTAACATGCTTAAAGCCGCCATACACTCTCGCGATTATGCAAAAGGCTTGACGACGATGCTACAGACTAACGCACCTTGTGTAGATTCAATAAGCTACATTACTCTTATAGCCCCAAAACGGCGTATTAGTTTGTCCAATTAGCACTGCTAATTACCTAAGAAATGTCTAATTGAAATCCGCCGTAAATTTGGGTTAATCTGGCGACAACGCCGAAAATTTACACTGGGGCCAACAAAATAAACATCGAGTACTCGGCGTTCCTGTGACGTGCGACTAGTGATTGCGACAACGAGTGAGTGCGGGGAAAGCCTTTGACCATCGAAAATTGTTCTGTCCCGGGGTACCTAATGGATTGTTTCTCGTAATGGACCCTTTTAGACGTCTGCCTGGGAGTTAGTATACATAGCAACTTATAGCTTTTGTCCACTATATTTATATGTGTTGCTTGTAATCCTCAAGTGATACCCCTGCAATGAGACTTGAGTCATGTTAGTTCGACAGACAAAACTCACATGTAGTGCAGAAAAACGATGTCGTTACTTATACTGATACCATGACTAACGTACATATATGCTGACTGCACATCCACGAGAGAGTGCACCTGAGCCGTCACTATGCGCGCAACTCAGATACTGCGTGAGTAGCTAACGAAGAGAGAGAGTACAAGGTAATGTCCGACTGACTCTGAGGATCAATGATTGAAACTTGAATCTCAAGACTCGCGAGAGGGGATGCGAATTGTTTCTCCGAGCGTTGGTGATGGACGACACAGAATATAATACTGTATTACGGCCGTCTGTGGAAACACTTATAACATATAAAAATAAGTACTGACATCCTTCTTTGCTACTATTGTCCTCTGATTCTTTTCCGTCGTTCAGTTGGTGTTTAAAGTGTTTTATTGCCACAAGAATTGTCTTCTAATCGGTGACTGTAACTCGTCAACACGCCATTTCTTGGACTGCGGATTTCAATTAGACATTTCTTTACGATGGATCAAGTACAATACCAAGTGCAATTACTAATGGAGGACTACCTAAAGTTATATCACATGAGCGCTGTAAACTGTGGCTATAACGGCTTAATATTGTAAGTACAATCATCTAATTACAATAATACATCGATTGTTTAGAGAGTCCGACGCTATGTGTAAACAAGTGTAGCCTCATTCTCTCGGTGGTTCTAAATAAATATGCGATTTTAGAACTGTCCCGATGGTTAGTCGAATCTATCTCCGTCGTTATATATATAAGGAAGTTACATATTCGAGTGAGAAATGGCCAATTCTCACAAATGTCGTGATTTCTCACTGTTGTATATGTGTTTGTGGTTACTGCAGCTCTGTAGTGCTTCTAAGCCGTGGAATTTATCAGATACCGAAGATTATTCCTTGGAAAATGTAGTTCTGTCAGAGTACATATGGTGTTCGTCATGTTTTCAGTGTGTGTTAGTCGTGCGGCAGGAGAGCATACTATAAATCAAAGTTGCTTTATAGTATTCCCGCTCCACGTCAGGGTAGCTCGTGTTGTTGTTGTGCTTCGCGTGATGTGTGTACGCTTCGGGCATGTGTATGTGTGTGTGTGCGCGCGCCACGTGTGTGTGCGGCATGCTGGACTGTGGCCATTGCGAACGTCCAGCGACCTACACAAGACCCACAGTCTCTCACTTTTAAATGGCCAACTCTGTGTCTAGAGGCACCTTGATCAGGCTTTCATTTTTTAATTGGGCGCCGATCGCCGCTCGCGCTTCCACCGCCGCACACCGAGAAATGTGCTGCCACGGTAGCGCGCATCATCGCTGCCTCATAAAAGTGCCGCTTGGAAATCGCCGCCACCAAAAGTATGCTCTATACTGTTCGAAATAGCGCTCCATAGACGTTCTCAATGTGGGCGGGTACGACAAAAGAGTTAGCAAACACACAACAACTTTGTGCCGTGCAGTGTGTGTGTGCGCATGGCCACGGTGCTGTGTGATTGCGTGTGCTAGTGAATGTAAGTAATTGAACGTATGGCAGAGCGTACAGGTACTTGGTTACTACCTCTGGTTTATATATCTATACTTTATAAAAAAACAAATTTTTTTGGGGGGAGCTAATCTTGTGGTGTGTGTGCTGTGTAACTGTGCTTTAGCTCGAAGTCTCGTGTGTCTGTAGCGTGTCTCGTCCGCGCCTCAGTGGGTCACTCGAATCGCGGCTAACCGGAAGATATATTCAAGACATCACCACGTCTGGGAGATGGTTCTGGCTGCAGAAAAAATTTAAGAATTAAGTTGTTATAGTGAGTGTATGAGTTGATTAAGCTCAAAAATTCGAAAAAAAATGCTTTATTCGTCAATAGATGGGCTGTGTGATGTACCACGTGCGCTACAGCAGATCCACTATTCACATACGTCGGGAATACACTGCGTCTCTGTGCTGTTGCGGCACTCTGTGGCGCCCGTTATGAGCATAAATTCACGAAATCACCACGTATGCTGTGGGAGATGGGTCTCTGGGCTCCAACAAAAATCTATTCCCTCAAGTAGCGGCAGTGGCTGTCGCCACATGGCGTGGACTCATACGTCTCAAGATTCCCCCCCCCTACTGCAGATTTCCCCCTGCTACACTCTTGCGTTGGACGTTGTACACGACGTGAGCCACTGGTACATGTGGACACTATGATGTGTATGTAGTGGTCTGCAACGTGGCCAGTAGCTGTGCCACGTGTTACTGTTGGTTACCAGCGGCGGTGCCAGTGTGTCTTTTGCTTTTTCAGGTTGCGACTGATGATGAAATATTGTGAGTAGCTGTGCGCGATCTGTTGATCGTCGTTGACATTGTGATGATGTCTCGTATCATTTTGAGCCATGAGATCTAACGAGCTGTTTGCTCGGTTCTACGTGGGTGTATTAGCTGTTGCTGCGTCGAGTATTAGTTGTGATGCAGATGAGCATATAGAGCCCGACGACGCATGAGCTGTAGGTGCATCGCAAAGGCACCAGGCGCGATGTGTGTGCAGTAGCCTATACTGGGGGGTGGTGTTTTGTAGCCTGAGAGTAGCTTGTACCTGAGCGCTCGCATTAGTGTGTGTGCGTTGCCGTGTGTTAATAGTATGTACGTGTGTGTGTGTGTTGACACACACACCACGTTATCGCACAAACTACTGCCTACATCACCGCTGACGCCACAGCACACAGTGGACTTGTCCCTCTGGCGCCGACACCCACGATCATGACGAAACCCGAGGCACACTACACGTAGACGCTGGGCAGGGGCTACATACGTAGCCGCACACCACACAGCACAACTACGACTACAAGACTAAAGTTGGCCATATAACGTATACATCAGCGTTCTGCAACTCGACAGACCACATACTACGTGATAGCAACACCCACCCCACCTACATTTATGTGCTGCACAATATCTGAGCGCAATACTACGAGCACTGCCATGGAATTAGAATCCTAAGCGATGGAAAATCAGAATACATAATGCACAGAGTTCACACTATCTACTGACACACAACTCATGCACGCCGCACCAATACACACTACTCACACACACTATCGCGATCAATCA